GTTCCAGATGAGCCTTAAAGAAGTACAGACAGTGCATCTTTAAATCCAGAACAAAAAGTTCCCCTAAATTTATAGTTATTTTCATTATTGCCCAGAAATATATGAAAATTAGTTCCTTTTCATGTCATTGCCAACTTATACCCTGGAAATAGTCCAGAATAATTGTGGAATTCATCAGCAGTCATTTTAACAAAAGTGACTGCCAAAATATAAGATTCTTTGACTCACCGATTTGGGGCACCGAGAATCCAGCGAATCCTCCAGGGGTTGAATCCGTTTTCGACCGGCAGAGATCTGCTGACACTAACCACTCGGCTCCAGAGATAAAAGATCGGTTCTAGAATTCGCAACGGAGCTTTAACACCAATCGCCACGTTCCTCCTGCTGTCTGACTTCCCCGGATAAACGCAGAAGAATAGAAGGATGGGCATCTGCGCTTTGCTATACATGTATATGATTTCCAGCTTGCTCTTTCTGCTGATTGTATTAACTTGTTTTGGGTGGTTTCCATGGTAAAATGACATTCACGGCAAAAAAAAAGAAGATTCCATGATCAAAGTAATGATAATGTTAATTGAATCACATGGTGGCCGTGATGCGATTGGTTTCCTGTTGCGACGTAGCTAATTGTGTGCGAAATAAATCAACAAGCTAGCATAGACTTGTTCTGAAGTCGATATACGGCTGAGGTTTGTCCGTCCCAGTCGGCGCAACACACCGCGTTGCCGAATGTACAGCCTTATAAAACAAGTACCGACTTGAAATCACTCTAACTCCTCTGTACTGTCTCCGGTTTACCGGAAATGGCAGAACGACTTTCATCTTTTCTAACGAATATAGATCTTGGAATATATTATTTTCAAAATACCGAAGGTGTTTTTGTATTGCTCAATCCTGCAATCTGCAATCCTGCAAGGGCAGTCCTGCACTCTGCAATCCTGCACACTGCAATCCTCCAAGGGCTTTTCTTTTTTGTTGCTGAGGAGCAGCGACGTCGCCCCCCCCCAGAAAATCAAATCTGTTAGTCCCTTAAGTGACAACGGTTAACGGGTTTAATAACAATTGGGAGCCTCCCCCACTGTAACATCCCCAACTGTAAGCCCCCCCACTCCCCCCCCCCCCCCCCCCCCCCCCCCCCCCATGGTGAGAACCAGTGTTGTAGGTCTCGAGACCGGTCTCGGTCTCGGTCCCGGTCTCGAGACCACTTTTTGCCGGTCTCGGTCTCGGTCTCGGTCTCGGTCTCGGGAGCTGTGGTCTCGGTCTTGGTCTCGGTCTCGGTCCCCTTTGGTCTCGATATATTGGCTGGTCTCGAGTCGAGACCAGCCAAAAAGTGAGGGGGCGGATTCCGCCCCGGCCCCAGTTTTGGATTAAGTACAGAAACAGTTGAGGGCAAATGTGACTGCAGTGTGATGCTGATAGACATGTCTCTCTTCACTTTCTAGTGAGTGAGGCATAGTCCAACAACCATTGCTCCTTTTCTTATTTCTTGTTTTTATTGTTGGATGGTTTGTTGAAACAAGCACTTTATAGCCATCCTCCTTGATTCCAAATACAACTGGGATTAAAATCTTATGAATCAAGATTGAAACATTATTCTTACCGTCAGATTTTTTGTTTTGAATATGGGGAACAATTCAACTCTTTTTCCCCAGAAATATTGGTGATTTTTTTCTATTTTTCTTTTCAATTTTTACTTTATTCGTGAAGGCGGGAAAACGTTTTTTTTCCATTATAGTTATTAATGGATATTCATCAATTCGTAGACCGTTAAATTGCTATTAGTGGTGGACAGCTGCATTTTGTGATCTCTTTATTAAAATAGGCACGACTTGGGAATAGAGAATTCAAATTACGTGAAATTTTCAGAGTTACTACTCAATAACATGTTCTTTATCCCAATTATATTTTTTTTTATAAAATGGAGGGTGCCATTTCTTTTTCTTTATCATACTGTCACTTTATTTTTGACTTGCCATGTATTCACCTTTTCATCTGTGATAAACACAAATTGAGCTACTGCCATAGTCACACAAAAATAGAGTCTAATTGCCTGTCTTGTCTCCTTTCTAAATGTCAATTGCGTTTGCATGAGTCGAGAAGACTTTTGTTCCATTAATCGCTAAATGCTGTTTACGGCCATCACAATAAACGATTGAAATATTGGCAATATGTTGTACTTGTAAATTACTAAAATATTCAATTAAATCGCCCGGCATAGTAGCCGATGCGGGTGATACGCTGGTACAAAACACAAATAGGCGTGCGCACGCAGCCATGAATCCTAAAAGTACATCTCGCCCACCACATTCAGTTTGTGACAGCGCCCTTCTATTGTGTCGGCCATAATTATTCTCAAATAGGCTAATGGCGATGATGACGGCGGGCAGATTAACAGAAGATAGATCAGGCAATTATGGTTCATCAATCTTCTATAGTGCATGTAATGGTATTGACATTATACACAAATAAAGTGGCATTACATTTCAGCCTAAGTCAGGCCTCTCTGGCGACAACCTCTCAATTTTTGGGTCTACATGTACAAGTCTATATTCCATGACTGAAATTTTAAAAAATAAATCAATATTTTCTTGCTCCAAATTTTTTTTGAATCAGGTTTACAAGGAGGTCCAATGTAAAATTAAAGCTGCTTTTAAATATCCGTTAGTAGTCATTGCTGAAACCAAGGGGTGGCTGTGGAGTTTAGGGTCCTGTAACAATTTAGTTTAGTTCCTTTAACAGATGAAACATCCACCTTTAACTTTTTACTTTTCAAATCCACCTTTAACTTTTTACTTTTGTCAAGTTTCAACATTGCAAAAAACTAGTACAAATTGTCGTACTCCTATGAAGTTGGAGTTTCTTCATCAGATTGACACTTTATAGTAGTTAAACAATATTATATTTTAAAAAAACATATGTTTTTAAAAAGTGGCAACAATATATGGAGTTCATCAAATTAGGTTTTCCCCTTCTTTAAATTAGGTTGTTTCCCTTTTAAAAAAATTGATTGGACAATAACAAATTCTGTTGCCATGCTGTAATTTATGGTATGAAGCAAACATGAAGAGCACTCGCATGACACAATTAAGCAGGTACAAGTGATTCCTAACTTTCAATCACTTCCTTCACATCCCCATCAACATCATCATCTCAAGGGCAGACTGTTCAGCTGTAATTAGTGTCTTGTTTTTTTATTTAGATTATTGTTATTTATTATCCGCGGTCTCGGTCTCGGTCTCGGTCTCGGACCATTTCGGTCTCGGTCTCGGTCCGCCTTGAAGGGGTTGGTCTCGGTCTCGGTCTCGGTCTCGCAACTTCAGGTCTCGGTCTTGGTCTCGGTCTCGGACTATCCGGTCTCGACTACAACACTGATAATAATGATAATTATAATAATATTAATAATAATAATTTGAAATTTATTATGCGCCTTTTGCATATAAATGCTCAAAAGCGCATTGCAGAATCAACAAAAAATGTAACTACTTCATAATGATGCCCAATGATAACCCACAAATCAGTATAGAATCAAAGTTGCCATGTACGCCGATTCAAACTAAAATGGTTACCATACATTTGATTTAAATGTGAACATAACAACGATTTTGATAACCTAATCGCAAAAAGTATCAGGTTGGCGTAGCGGTACTTTCCTCGCCTTTCACCGCTGTGACCCGGGTTCGAATCACGCCTGGGCCAATGTGTGGATTGGGTTTTCAGTCCCTACCTGATTTAGTGGGTTTTCCCTAGATTATCATTCTGGGCTTTTCCTTTTTCCACTAAAACTGCAATTTCTGTCCACATCTTCCACCGAGGGACCCCACTGGAAATAAGTGGAACGACTTTCGTGGAATATTCCGTCCAATTGCCGAATACATAATAATCATCAAGTAATGATTTTGTTGAAGTTAGACGACACATTTTAGCGGTGCATTTGGATGCCAGTCATTGTTGCATTAGGTGTTTAATTACCCAAAGAATACTCATACCAAATTTGAAAGAATTTGAATAAATAAGATTAAAAAGCGTGTTACTGTTTTCGCCACCCAAATGGACAACAGGGTAAAGCGCCCTATTGTGGTGCCGCATTCTTTTGTACCAAACAAATAATGTTTGAACAATTTATTCTATTGGGAACCAATACAGTTTAAAATACAGATATCATATCTTACCCGTCCTAAAACGTACCTATCCCTTACCCAAACACAATCCTGACCCAAAACCATAAAACTAAACAGGGGTGCAGAAAAAGTATATATAGTCGTGTTCCCTAACGTGGCGCACTTCGAAGCTTACCCAACTTTCCTCGTGTAGTGTTGCCAAACCTCTTTGTTGACAAACCTCAAATTCATGCAGTGAAATACTGGTACTTTTACCTTTCTAATGCTTGCTTTTTAACCTCTGTGAACAATTTCGGTTTCATAAAATTTAATCCGAAATGCAAAAACGGTCGCGTCCGGAAATTGGGCACAGATTGGCGGAGTGTTCCCTAACGTGGCGCACTTGAATAAATCTCAGAAAATTCCAAATGAACATTTAAGAATTTCTGTAAACTTGATAAATTCTGATAAATCATTATTATCTTTACTTACAAACCCAGCCAGATGTTTGTCAGAAAATTATTTTCTTATTTTCCGGGGCATTTTCAAAGGGTTCACTTTGCACTTGAAAATAAAATCGGAAAATCACGCCAAAATATTTTTTTCTTTTAACTTTGTAACGGGTAAATAAACTCGCGATTTATGAACGGGAGTGTTTAGAACTTGATGAAATTTCACTTTCTGTGAAATTTCAGTTAAAACTTTTGCTCTAGCTAGGCGCTACAGGCGAAAAATAAAAGTGCGCCACGTTAGGGGCCGCGCCACGTTAGGGTACATCAACAATACTGTAGTGGCAGGAAGTATGCGAGGGGGCGTTTCCAGATCTGAGCAGCATATAGAGGGCGGGCTATACTGAGCCGATTAATAGACTGGTTCCAACATATCGTACAATGTATTCGGCATTAACTTGCGGTTGGGTACAATTCTCGCCTGTTAAGAGATCACGAGAAGAAAGTTCCGTCGATTTCTTGGGCCAAAGTTTAAGTATTTTTCTTTCATTTCATTTCAGAGCTGTAAGTCTTTTTGACCAGTATTTGTGTGGAGCAACCGCCAATGGGGATTTAGGATTGGATGAAGTTGTCAAGCAAGGCTGTTTGAAGACTTTCCGCATTTACTGATAAAACATCGCGCCTTCTCAGCTTAACTTAAAGTTCAGGTTCTTGACTTGGCATGCTTGGTCAAGGTCAATGACACTAACTTGTTTCGGCCTAATTTTCCGTCTTCCTGTGGAAGTCGCGCATCGTTTGAAAAAAGGCTTGAAAGTGGGCAAGACTGTTGACATTAAACGTACGGTATTGGCACATAAGTGGGCTGTACAGTACAGTGTCAGTAGGCCTACTCGTACAACTTGGACACACAATTGTTCGGATTTTGGCAGTTATTCCCCAACTTTGTCTTACTGAGGTGGGGTTGACTTGAGCTGAGTTTGACGAGTTGATAACATACGGCTTCCCACCGACACCATACGTAATAGGGCCGCAGCATTGACATTGTTGATCTCCACTGACCAGCTGACGTTCGTTTGGAATGGTAGGCCTACGTTCAGAATATTAAAAATGCCAATGTGTGTTAAAATGTACGAAGTGGCTATCGTTACGGCAGCTGTGGTTTAGATACTTTTTGGATACGCACGCAGGTATATAATTATTTGTTTCCCCAGGGTTTAGCGAGCAGTGCGACAGCTCAGCCGATAGAGGGTAGTATTTTGCACCGCGAGGTTGCGGGTTCGCATCTCAGTTTTGCACTCGAATTTTTTTCCTTTTCTAACCTGAGGCTTGGAGGATTTTTTTAAAAAGGGAAATAAAGTCCGAATTTCATAACGTTCAAATTCACTTTTTTCCTTCTAATTTTACATTTTCTTCTTATGTTTTTATAAAAGTTGCAGTCTACCGTAACGATAGAAAATGGGAAATGCGTATAAAATGTATGGTGGCAGTTGCCTTTTCTGGTATTCGTGTAGTCTAGACACCCCTTATATGATTTACAAGTTCCCTTCATAAATTAAAAGCCTGCCCTCTTTCCACAAAATTAAGGTAGATATTCAACATTATGTCTTGGTGAACAATTTAGATGATTCCAAACACATGAAGTGATTTTCCTGCCGGTATCATAGTCAAAAGTGGAGTGTCATGGCCTAGCGGCTAAGAACACCGGACTCATGTTCTGGTGTTTCAGAGGCAACAGTGACGTGGGTTCAAGCCCGCCGGCGGACACTTGTGCTCTTAAGCAAGGCACTTAACCGTTATTGCTTCGTCCTTCGGATGGAACGTTAAGCCGTAGGTCCCGTGTGTTGTATAAATGCACGTAAAAGAACCCAGTAAACACTTATCGCTAAGAGAAGGGGTTTGCCCCGGTGTTTCTGGCCTCCTGTATAAACTCCCACATGGAGTATTTAGGAGAAGAATCAACTAAGAACCAAGAACCAATAGTCAAATGTTTGGATATTACTAGGGCCTAAGTCCCAAAACATAAAAGTTTGTTTTCATTCTCATAAATGGAATGGGGTTCTAAACTACACGATTACACCTATTTCTTTAAAATGTGTAGACCAATTTCTTTAGTTTTATTATTCATGTTATTAGTTTATAAGTAGGCCTAGCTCTGGAAACTTCAGTCCAGCTGCTATGTTGGTCACAAATTTGCAGATTCTATTTTGCAAATTTCCCAAGCTACATGTACTATTAATACAAGAATTAATACTTTGTTCTTTTAAGTAAAATAGTTCAGTATGTTTTTGTTTTTTTTAGAGTATTAATACATGTGTAATCTGTTTTAAACATGTCTCTTTTCTTTAGACAGTTGTGTTTTTCAATGTTCAATTGTTCATTAACTGCAGTGGTGGACATTCCCTTACAATTTGTTTTCAATACACACTGCATAAAGTTCCAAAATTTAAATATCCTTTCAAAATGGCAGTTCTGTTAATTTTCCTCAGGTTGGTCATATCATTTATAATATCCTGATTTAAATGAATGGACAAAGAAGCATTACATGTAGAGACTCATGAAGCTTCAAAGAACATATTGTTGCAATATTATTTGAAGGAAAGCCCTGTAATGATATTGCAAGGAATACGATGGAGCTTAAAGGGAATGTACATCATTGGCTTTTGCTGTAATTTTCAGAAATGAACTATTTGAGGGGTTAGTATAATAGATCAAATATTGTTTAACTGACATGTTTGAAGTTTCGTGTTCGAAAATGCTTAAAAAAACAAGAAAAACAAAAATGTTTAAGTAGTCTGGTTCCCTGACTCCACTAAACATAAAATGGATCAATTTATAGATGTCGGAAAATTGTAAGGTAAGGGAACCAGTCTAGCTGGCCTGCACCCGTTCATGCACATGTAACCAATAGCAAACAAAATGTGGACTGAAAAAATTGTAAATTTGGAGCAGTAGTTGAAAAATAGTTAGGTTTTTCCAACGGTGGTCGGCCGACCACCGTTGGAAATGTATACAAAAATACCATTTTCTTGATAATGATTTGACACCAGGTGCCATCATTTTACAGGATGCTTTAGACTGTCATTTACCAACATCCTAGTAAGGTATTTCGTAAAAACTTGGTAGTTTTATTTTTCGATGTTTGCAAATGTTGTTTATTCCCTTTAAATACAATGTAGTTTGTAGGAACTTCAATGCAAGCAATGGCTTTGGGAGGATTCGAACCTGTGTCACTGGTGGGTAAAAAGAGAGAAAAGTACCCCTTCACCAACCTTACTCCCTGACTTTTAAAAAAAAAATTAAGTATTGCTTACGGAAAATCACTGTAACGAATGACCACTATACTTAACAAGCTTAAAACAGACCTCATTGTGATTGTTGGTAGTAAGACTCACTCTATGCATGTAGACCTGTCAGGCTGATTTAAGGGAATGTATACATAATATGCAAACTTCAAAAAACAAAACTACCAAATTATTATGAAATATCTTTTATTAGTGAATGACAGTCTAAAGCATCCTGTAAAATCGTGGCACCTGGTGTGCTGACATTTTCAAGAAAAGTGGTATTTTTGTAGCAATTTCCAACGCTGGTCAGCCGACCAGCGTTGGGAAAAACTGGCATTTTTTTTTCAAATACTGCCACCAATTTACCATAATCAGTTAGTCTGCATTTTGTTTGCAATCGAGTACACACCTATAAACAGGTACAAGCCGGCTAGACTGGTTCCCTGACCTTACAATTCCTGACGTCTATAAATTGCTCCGCTTCATGGGGTCAAGGAACCAGCCTACAAGACCATGATTGTTTCTCTTGGTTTTTCCAGAATCTTTTAAATACCAAACTTCAAGCAAGTCAGTGTAGCAATATTTGCTATAAAATACTTACATGTACTCCCAAATCTATCCATTTCTGAAAATTACAGCAAAAGCAAATGTTGTATAATTCCCTTGAACCATTTGCTATTTCTCCAACTTTTTTACTCATTCTAAAGGAAGAAGTCACTGAACAGAACGGTGAAGTCACCACCGACACGCCCTTTGAACCCTGGTACCATGTGCAAGTTACGGGAGCCACAAAGAATGGCGGATTCATCAATTTTGATGTAGTCACAAAGAAGGTAATGAGATTTTTACTCTCGGGTGCAGAATTGTTAAGAGTCAGTGGATTTGAAGTGACTCGTGGGGGGGGGGGGGGGGGGGGGGAGGGGGTACACATTAGGCTGAGGCTATCGATGCATTTTTAACAATAAACACTTGTTTGCCTTCCCCAACATTTGGTGGGTGGTGGTGGTGGAAGGGGGGGGGGGGTGTGGTTTTGACCCCCATGGCCCCCATTGTTACGCTTAAGAGTGTGAAGCTACTTTTATAGTTTATTTATAACTACTATTAGTTGCACAGTATTAAAACAATGCACTACAGTGCACTATCACGATTTTTTTGCATATCCTTGGCTAGTTTCAAGCATGTATCACTTCACTGTCATGAAAAAAAAAAAATTCTAACATTTCCAAGTTTTGTTGGTCCATTTGTTACAAAGCAAAAAAAGAAAGTTGGCCCACCTTAACTTTTGCATTTTTATTAATAATGTGCAAATTAATGTAATCGTAATTCCTGTTACTTGTTTACTTTTGACTTTGGCCTTCATGTTTTGATTGGTGACTTGCAAATTTGCCTACAGTGGCCTTAGCATCTGCACATTAATATCCTTATAAACTGGGAAGAATTCAAAAGCAAAACCAAAAATGTTTAAAATGTGAATAGAAACAAAACCCTGCATTTAAATGTAGTGACGAAATAAAAAAAAAAGGAAATGATCTAATGTACATAATCATCGCAACTCCGATTAAGTGTGCTGAATGATTACAGACAATGCCGGTTTTGCTGTTGACTCTACATGCTCTGTTAGCAGGAAAAGGCATGTTGTGTGTCATCGTGCTGAGCCATTATTATCTATTTCCTGTTGCGTGTACAATGGATTTCAGCATTGAATATGCATTGCCTTGTGGTTGGACAAGTCACAAGACAGGGATGAGGTGGGACCCAGAACCAAATATTAGAAAGGGGGGGGGGGGGGGGCCTGGTAGCCCTGTTCAAATTTGAAGGGGGGTGGGGTGGGAGAGGGGGAGGGGGCTAGACTGTTAGGGGTCACTTTTCACGTTTGCGTTCTTTCTCAAATATTTCACAAAATCACAGGGAAAGTGGATGAGTACCATCAATTTTAACATTGTCGTCTGGGGGGAGGGGGGGGGGGGTTGACCACTAGGGGGCACTTTTCACATTTGTGTTCTTACTATTAATATTTCACAAAAGCGAACTGGGAAAGTTGATAAGTACCATAAATATTAATATAGTCGTCCTCAGTTCTCTTCAGGTTTAATTTTAAAAAAGTAAATGATATATGTTTTTTGGGGGGAGGGGGTGGATGGAGGGGGCGTGGCCCCTGTCCGCTCCCCCCCCCCCCACCTCAGGCTGCAACTGGCTACCTGTTTAAAGGGGGATTGCATCATTTGCAGCTATCCAAAAAGTAACTGACAAACTTATTGTTGGAAAGCATACTTGGTTTAAAGATACATGTAGTAATGACACCAAACTCTTTATGAAATTATTTTTGTCTGGCATGCTGTCATTTTGAAGAAAACAATAAAACAAGGTACCTTCCAAAGATGCGTCTAACGATGGAATATTCCAATATCCGAAAGTGCTGATCACTTAACATGCGCGGCATGCGACAGCCAAAACTGGCCGCTGATCAAGATTTGCGTGCTTCTGCGTTTATCAAAGTTGACAAAAATTATACCAAGAAGAGGTAATGGAACAGCTATTTGACCGATTTTAAAGAAAAACTTGGAGCTAGTATTCCTCATGGAAGCTCTCAAATCCTGGACATTTTAAGTGGATTTTGACAAAATTGTGGCATTTGACAAACAATAAAACCATTCAGCTTGTTCAATTTGGGCTTTTGACTGCAGTGCGCCACCAAGAGATTGCCAAGGAGAGTTATTTTTCCCAGTGTATTGTGGGAGATGGTCAACATATTCACAGAGCAGGCTATTTGAAATTGCTAGTTTGTCCCGTCAGTAGTTTATAGGCGTATGATTTGAGTATCTGTTCGCCCTTCTCTTTTCTTGTAATCAATATGTTTTTCTTTTGAAAGGGGACAGAAAGCTATGCCCCAATCCTTTAAATTAGCTCAAGTTGTCTACTGATACTCGTTCAAATGGGCCATGTGTTACCGACCGTAAACTTGAAAAATGGACTCTCCTTGGCAAACTCTTGCTGGTGCACTGCACTGTGAAACGCCGAATTGAAAGACAAAAGTGGACATTGTCATGAGTGGATGTTTTCCATCAACTCCTCAAGACCTCTCACATTTTTCGAATATTTAAATTGAAAAAATGCTATTCAGATATCGGTTGAAGATCGAATATTCAAGTATTTGGATATTCGGCACAGTCGTATTGCCAGACTTGAATGATTGATAATTTTTCTTTTCATAGGCCTATTTGTTTGCCTTTGTTCCTTGTACATTGATGAAATACAAAATTGCATTGATGCAGTGTTATAATGCATTTTGTATTGTAAATCTAGTTGGAGGCCAGTGGTCAAGAAACGACCGTGCAACGTGTCTATGAAGACTTTGAGTGGTTGCAGCACTGCCTCATGACAGACTCGGACACCAGTGGAATCATTGTAAGTACTTCAGACCACATTCACATGTTGTGTCATTGCTGGTACCTGGCTGACTGCCTGGCTGGCTTGCTGACTGACTCAATTTCGCTTGTAACCCGGGCAGTGCTATCCTATAGGATTACCCTGTAGCACCAATGAATGCGCTATATCTGGCCAATTGTGTAGACCAGATGTGCAAAAAGACTACCACAGTACCAGTGAATAGCCATTTTGAATAAAATGAATATAATTTTGTGAGCTCTGGGGCTAGCTTTACTGGACTGCTCAGGCCCCCTTTACACAGGGCGGCGACCTTTGTAACACCTATGAGTGACCAAAACATGGCCAGGACGCTCAATGGTCGCCTAAACCCCCCAAAATCTTGTTTCTATGCCGAATGGAGGCACAGCGGTCACCACAGTCATCATTCAGTGCACGTATTGGTTGGGCAAAGGAGGCACAAGGGAGGCAAAAGCATATCGCCCAGATTGACCGTAAAATTTGCAACAGAACGGATCCATTACATGGCGACCATTGGCTGACCATTGTGCATCCATTCTGCAACCACGGCAATGCTTGTGCCTCCTTTCTGCCTCATTTGAGCCACCTTTGAGCAACCAACCTCCTCGGCGACCTTTGTGCGACTGTTTTGAACATGTTCACAAATTTACGGCGACCATGGCGTCCATGGCGATGTCTGAACATCCTGTGTACCACCTTTGAATGACCTAGGCAGCCATTCGGCCTCCTTTGAGCCTCCAACGGCGACCTGGCCAGTTTTATGGTCGCACAAGGGAGGCCCAGTGTAAAGGGGGTCTTAGTCTCATTAAGTACAACATTTTCTTGTGGTCAGATATGATGTTGCCAGTTACATGTCAGAATTATAATCATCCACATTGCCACATTGCCACAGTGGGGAGTGCAGAATAGTGGTTAGGGATTGTAACTCACGATCAGAGGGTCCGGGGTTCAAATCCAGCTGCTGGTCATATGTTGTGTCCTTGGGCAAGCTACTCCAACCCCACTTGCCTCTCTCCACCCAGGAGTATAAATGGGTACCAGCATTAGCTGGGGAGTAACCTGTGATGGACTGGCATCCCATCCAGGGGGAATAGAAATATTCTCAGTTGTTTCATGCCACTGAAACCGGAGATAAACGCCGGCCTGATGGGCCACATTGGCTCGTGACAGACTTTACATTTTTTTCTGTTTTTTACATTGCCATGACTGTAAATTTGGATTGTTAATTACTGACATATCCTCCCTCATTTATACTTTTTTCCTGAATGTTCCAATGTCTTGTCTGTTTCTAGATGCCACCGGTACCACCAAGGCCCATGGCCTCAGCAGCAGATGCCGCAGCCAAAGCAAAGAGAGAAATGGGCACTGATACCAAGGTCAAAGGTTAGTATCTATAGTAGGTCAGAGGTAACTAATACAAAGGCCAGAGGCCAGGACTGACACAAGGTCATAGGTCATTACTGACACATGGTCGTAGGTCAGTACTGACACAAGTTCATAGGTCAGTACTGACACAAGATCATAGGTCATAGGTCGGTAATGACACAAGATCATAGGTCATAGGTCAGTAATGACACAAGCTGTAGGTCAGTACTGACACGAGTTCATACATGTAGGTCAGTATGGACACAAGGTCAAACGTCAGTACTGGCACGAGGTCAATGTTCAGTACTTATACAAGCTCATAGATCAGTACTGATACATGGTCAAGTACTGAACAAGGTCATGGGTCAGTACTGACAAGGTCATTACAATAAGAGGTCAAAGGTCAGATTTAGTGAAGGCCTGTGTCAATGCATGGTGAAGGGTCAGTTCTGTGTTGGAATTGGAATACAGCTCCTGATATATTTAATCAATGTTTGTTCATTTCAATCTGCTCAAGATCGTTACCATGTCATGCAAAAATCTTCCCCCAGGTGATGAGTTTTACAAGCATTGTCGATCCTTTGAAAAATACTTGCAACTGGTCGTCCGACACAGCTTCCTAGGAAAGAATGAATCACTGGCCAAATTCCTCACAGAACCAGAGGTGAGTTCCGATGTCGCCATTCTAGGTCGAAGGTCTCATCAAAACCTTTGGAGACCATTTTGAGATCCAAATTTCCCATAAAATGTTCAGTTAAATTCAAATTTTAAAATGAAGACGAGCTGTTTTTTTTATTAAATTGTTACACTCTCCTTCAATTTCTTTTGACTTTATGTGTGAGATGACAGAAACGGTCTTGACTACAACCGATATTTAGGGCTCCATACTACACAATGGACACACAGCTGCTGAACCTAAAGGAACCCAGTAAAACCCACTACTACACAATGGACACACAGCTGCTGAACCTACAGGAACCCAGTAAAACCCACTACTACACAATGGACAAACAGCTGCTGAACCTAAAGGAACCCAGTAAAACCCACTACTACACAATGGACAAACAGCTGCTGAACCTAAAGGAACCCAGTAAAACCCACTACTACACAATGGACAAACAGCTGCTGAACCTAAAGGAACCCAGTAAAACCCACTACTACACAATGGACAAACAGCTGCTGAACCTAGAGGAACCCAGTAAAACCCACTACTACACAATGGACACACAGCTGCTGAACCTAAAGGAACCCAGTAAAACCCACTACTACACAATGGACACACAGCTTCTGAACCTAAAGCAACCCAGTAAAACCCACTACTACACAATGGACAAACAGCTGCTGAACCTAAAGGAACCCAGTAAATCCCACTACTACACAATGGACACGCAGCTGCTGAACCTAAAGCAACCCAGTAAAACCCACTCATTGATTTCTTCTCTTCCCCTCAATCTAGCCGCCAGTCCGGGCCAAACTCAAGAACTCTTTCCTGACCAACCTGACCAAGGCTGTCGGGGAGGTGCGGAAGGGGGGTCACCAAGACTTGGACCCTACCTTCCAGAAGGAGCGCAGCACCGTCAACGAAGTGGTCAAGATCATGGCGGACACCAGCTTGCACTTCAATAACGTGTTGAACATCGGCGAGAGTAAGTACTCATCTACAGCAGGCGCAATGCATCAGTATCGGTTGTAAAGTTCTTCTCGTTGTCTTCTCCATATGGGCAATTCCACGGCTACTCACGTTACATTTTCGTAACGTGAGTAACCGTTTTGTGCTTCTTGTTTATCATACATAACACATTTTTTTGGATGTCATCTTTGGTGCTTAGGTAGGTCTAGGTCTACTCTATCTACCATGGGGATAACAGTTATTAAACCTTTTCAGTAAGGTAATTACAGCCCAAGGAAACTCAAAAGTACATAAAAAATGTAACGTTAGTAACAGTGGAGTTGCCCATATAGGCTTTTTCGCGCTTTTGAGCTAAAGTGCCTAGGGCACTTTTGAGGAATCATTGATTTCATTACCCCAAAGAAATACATTATATAAATAATTATATAACCGACATACAGATCCCTGTCATGGGGAATGGGATATACTTTTCAACAGTGAGGATCATGCTTGTTCCGTGGCACAGTGCATCCCCCGAAATCAGCCACACGTTTTTGCCATATACATACATGTGTAGCCTCAATTCTGCGAAATTCTCCATTTTGAGGAGGATTTTGGAGGATTTGGGAAGGTCAGGGTTATTAATATACCACATGGCATCGTCTACAATTTCTGGTTATGTTCTCAAAGTTTAGATATGTTTTGCTATAACAGATACTTATGAGATGCAGTCAATTCTATTCTCTGTTTTTTTGTTTCTCCCTCTTTCCAGGGTTCTCCGCCTCCTTGAACCATCTCTCTACGGCCCTGTGCTTAGCCAGCACTGCCTCCGAAGAAGGACCCACTTCAGATGTCAATAAGTACGCCATTGTGTAATCATTATACATCATGACCCTTAAAGGGAAAATACAACATTTGCAAACATCAAAAAATAAAACTACCAAATCATTTTGAAATGCCTTGCTGGACTGTTGGTGAATGACAGTGTAAAGCATCCTATAAAATCATGGCACCTGGTATACTGTCATTTTCAAGAAAAGTGGTATTTTTGTATCAATTTCCAACGCTGGTCGGCCGACCAGCATTGGAAAAAATTGGCTTTTTTTCAAATACTGGCCCCAATTGACCATCGCACTTGTTTGCAATCGATTACACACCTATGAACGGGTACAAGCCAGCTAGACTGGTTCCCTGACCTTACAATTCCCCAATGTGTGTAAACTGCTCTGTTTCTTCTTATATGGAGTCAGGGAACCAGACTACATGAAAATGATTGTTTTTCTTGGTTTTTATAGCATTTTCGAACCCAAAACCTCAAAAAAGTCAGTGTAACTATATTTGCTATATATTTTCAACCCCCCAATTCCATCCATTTCTGAAAATTACAGCAAAAGCAAATGATGTATATTCCCTTTAATCATGCTTTTGTAGAGTTGTGCAATCAAGCTTGTAGAGTTGTACAATCAAGCGTGCTAGATCAAGGGTTGAATATTATGCCATCAGCCTGGGTGTTTGGTTGGTATCAAATGAGGGGAATAATGCTCATTGTGATTTTTGGCAAGGTGTGCACCCCTGTATGTGATAGCATTGCAGCGGTGGCAGCTTTTTGGGTGCTATCACTTTTAAAAAAAATGGTGGCCCAAACATGCTTGTTACCACATAATTAATCCAGTAACAAGCATATTGGCGACCATTTAAAAAAAAAGAAGTGATAACACCCAAAAAACTGCCACCGCGCACACTGCAAAGCTATCACACATTTTCCAACTCTAGATGTGCATACCTTGCCAAAAATTGCAATGAGCATGGCACCTTTCGATCATTTGAAACAGGCATGCAACTTTTCCTCGGATCTGCTGATTTCTTCGTTTTTTACTTCTCCTGAATGCCATTACAAATCGAAAAAAACACTGTACAATGTCTCGCGTGGTTTGGAGTTTCCTCATTTTTTCTAAATTCCCAGTTGCATGCCTGTTTGATACCCGTGGCCCAGTTTTTGGAGCGAAGCTGATAGCCTATGTGCATCATTGAGTGCAATTAAAAGTTAGGCGCTCGCTATCGCACACTAAAGCATTCTCTATAGTATCTGGTTTTTGTTTTTCAAAGTAATGTAGACCATGTAACTTGTGATGTCATGCCTGTCTGAGTTAGTCTTGGGTCCAAATGTTGTTATTGCATATTGGATACATAGTTTAATACCAGCCGAAAGAGGGCGTTCTCAAAATGAACCGCTGTCACTCATGAACTGCCATTGCAACAATATCTTGGGAATCTCGTAGCTTCATGTCATGCACGCGCACCTTTTTTTGTCTAATTTTTGCAGCGTGCGTTCAGCGTGCATGTAAGCTCCGAGCCAAACTCTGAAATTTCGGCCAGTGACATACATGATGTTACCAGACTTGTGTGCAACTTTCGGCAGCTCTTTTGTAGTATGTAGTGTGCGCTTGACCGAAACATACATGTAGACCATATGTGACCTGTTCTGTCAAAATCAGACTTTTCTGGGCATAAGGTTGAAAATGATATTTTTACATATTAACATATGTTCTTTTTCCTTTTAATTGGTGGTTGAATTTTTGAAACCAGTCATTCCTGGGCAGAGTTATGCTATTTTGAAGTTCATTGTGTCGAAAAGTAGAAAACGGAGAAAATGGCCACAAACGTCACAAAACAGTTATTTCTTTAACTGGTATACCTTATCAAAGTCATGAAAAAATAGTATATGTACAGTTCAAATTAGGGTTTCAAACTTTTATAATATATCTTAGACATGTTCAGGATTACAAATATGCAAAAATTTGAAAATCGATAAAAATCACCCCCACAGCGTTTTTTGGCCCTATCTCAATTTCAACCTCTGCCCAGAAGCGTCTGCTTTTGACAGAACAGGTCACATATTTGCCTGCAGAAATAGCGCATGCGCAGTAGTTTTCAACAAGGAGTAGTGCATGTGTAGTAGTTTTGAGGTTAATTTTCCAAGATTATCAAGATATTGTTGTTCATGTTGAGGTACATGGGTGATGGTGATTCGTTGTGATAACATCCTCTTGAGGTGATCGCTTATCCAATATTCCGTTGCCAACTGGCAGAACAGCCATCTTCACTGACAAGCTGACTCGGTGTCCCTGTGTGAATTAGACTAGTGAAATGATATATATTTATAAGATTTGAGGCTTTGCATGGTGGAGTATCGGTATCGTTTCAGTTTGCGGTAACACCATGTGGTAATAACTACTGCTTAGAAGATATTTAGTTCTGAAAAGAACTTGTCCTGCTTATTATCAACTTTCGCTAAGTAGTTTTTGTTCTGATAAGAACAGTCCTGCTTTAAGTTCTAAAAGAACTTGTCTTTGGTCTCAACGTTTCGACTAGCCTGCTCTCTTCATCGTCAGGAGACTGAAGAGAGTTGGAGATGCTACTCCTTAAGAAGGCTGTGTTGGGATTGGGAATGCTTGTATTAGTGGATTCTGATTGGCTGTCTGTTGGGCATTGTGTTAGCGTGGGATGCCCTTTTGTTCTTATCAGAACAAAAACTACTTACTTAGCGAAAGTTGATAATAAGCAGGACAAGTTCTTTTCAGAACTAAATATCTTCTAAGCAGTAGTTATTACCACAGGGTGTTAACGCAAACCGAAACGATACTGATATATATATTTTTTCTTTCTTTTGGTTAGACTGCAGTTGCACTTTGCCAAGGCCATCGAACATTACTCCCATGGAGTTGACATCTATGTCGCCAATGACGAGAAGACATTGGGTTTCTGCCTGGACCACTATGCAAGATACTTAGAGTCGGAGAAGGTAGCCCACCAAAAACCAAAAAATATCATTCGTGGGATTTATAATATAGGTTTTCCCGGCCAATTCCCTAAAATTTTCGTTCACTTCTGAAAATCGGTCATTCTTTTTCGTCTGAATTTGAGAATCACTCTGAACACGCATTTCATTGTCCCTACCAGAGCATTCGATTCCATTTCAGTTCAGTTAAGTGATTCAGCAGCACATTTCGTTTATGCTCATTCAGATTCATTTACAAGACTTCCTTTTTGCTTTCAGAAGGCGATTTCAAACATTGGCCATTCTGTTTCACTTTTAGGTTAATGTTTATGTGATGCACTCTGCTATTTATTTTGAATGAGAAAAACATATTTTGATTGCACGTTCACGAAATTGTATGCCAGAACTCTGCGCGAAAAGGTATGCTTGCATAAATGAATGCACAGGTAACGTAACTGGCCGTCTGTTTCTCAAAACCGAATGCACGGACAATGAAAACGATTGAACTTTCATTGAATTGAAATGGGATTAAAGAAAATGAATGACCGATTTTCAGAAGTGAATGAACATTTTAGGAAATTGGCCGGGAAAACTTATATCTATTCCATGCAGGTTTAATAGTCATTGTTGTAGTCCAGTTCATTAGTGTTGTGCATCGGCTTGACCGGGGCGAACCGACCCGGAACATTAAAGAGGTAAACTGAATCTGAACCAAAACAGATTAGAACTCCCTCAAACCAGCCCGACCCAACCCAACCCGACCCAACAAAAACCAACCTGAACCGACCTGAAACCGACCCGAAACCGAACTGACCCACAAAAAAACCTGAATATCTGGCTTGGGCAACTTTGTCCGCTTTTTGTGCCTGAACTTACCCACGTCACATGAAAATCGTCGTCTGTCACTCAGTAACTGAATTAAAACGTACGGCACTCACAACGTGACCTACTGGTGGGCCTACATGTTATAGACAGTGCGTGATAGATTGCAAACCATTTTGGTCCTACCGGGCACAGGCTCTGCAATAAATATTGCAATATTGTGTGACGTTTCAAACTGTTTAGGTTTTTGTGTGTGTTTATTTCGGTTTATTCAGGTTTTTCCAAAATGGCTTAACCGACCCAACCCGACCTGAAAATCGCAAATGCAAAACCGAAACCGACCCGACCCGACTTAAATGATGGACAAACCGGCCCTACCTGACCCAAAGTCGGTTTTGGGTCGGGTCGGTTTCGGTTTCATGTCGGGTTTGCACAGCACTAGAGTCCATCCCAGGTCTGTTCACAAGTCATGTAACAGTGGATGAACAATGACAAGGAATACTTTTGTCGCAGTTCATTTGAATAGCTTGTGACTTGACTCGAGACTGGAGGTCTTGTGATGGACTTCCGATGGGCTGTTCTGGACTTGTGATTGACTCAAATTTTCCAAGTTCCTCGCCGACATCCCTCTACTCCACTATTGCAATCTCTTCACTGGCTTCCGATCGAACAAAGCATTATTTTCAAAATCCTGTTATATGTATACAAGTCAATCCACGGTCTCACTCCCATATACCTCTCAAACGGCATTTCATCCTACAAACCTTCACGACCCGGATTACGCTCTGCCACAGACACAACCCGGCTCGTGGTGCCTAGGGGCAAAAGGATGGTCGCGGGGAGGTCATTCTCTATCTGTGCCCCTAGATTGTGGAATGATCTCCCATCAACCATCAGACTGGCTCCTAGCCCACAAACCTTCAGAAGCCTCCTCAAAACACACCTGTATGTCTGATCTGTTATGTGATTACTCTTTCAATGTCTCTGTTTATGTTCCTTTGTTTTTGTTTGTAAAGCGCATTGATCATTAAAGGGAAAAAACAACATTTGCAAACATCAAAAAATAAAACTACCAAATCATTTTGAAATACCTTGCTGGACTGTTAGTGAATGACAGTGTAAAGCATCCTGTAAAATCATGGCACCTAGTATACTGCCACTTTCAAGAAAAGTGGTATTTTTGTATCAATTTCCAACGCTGATCGGCCGATCAGTGTTGGAAAAAACTGGCTTTTTTTCAAATACTGGCCCCAGTTGACCATCGCACTTGTTTGCAATCGATTACACACCTATGAATGGGTACAAGCCAGCTAGACTGGTTCCCTGACCTTACAATTCCCCAATATATGTCAACTGCTCTGTTTCTTCTTAAATGGAGTCAGGGAACCAGACTACAGGAAAATGATTGTTTTCTTGGTTTTTATAGCATTTTCGAACCCAAAACCTCAAAAAAGTCAGTGTAACTATATTTGCTATATATTTCCAACCCCCCAATTCCATCCATTTCTGAAAATTACAGCAAAAGCAAATGATGTATATTCCCTTTAATTTGGAACTATATAAGCACCGGTATTATTATTGTTATAGTACATGTTCAACACTGACAGTAAAAGTTTCTCTTGTTAAAGTGCTCTTCCCATCCAGACTAATTCTGAATGTGTCTCTCATTACTTTTTTGTATCTTTCTCGTTCTTGAACCCAGGCTATGCTCTACGTTAGGACGTGCAAGCTGATGGAATTTGAGAACGCCACAAAGTCATTGGAGAAAGCCAAACCCCTCAAAAAGGAGGCCGTAAGTACAGTTTTTGTTTTTAACTTTTGGTGGACTAAGGTATGCTTGGAATCTCTTGGGTCAAGGTGCCAAAGTTCCCAAGGCTGGATTTGATTGAAACGATTGTTGATACCGCCCTCTACTGTCAAGGCTGATTGACCACTTTCATGGTAATATGCACCATCTTGTTCACGGGGCAAAAAGAACACGCATTGCTGAGCACGCACGTCTATCGAAAACTATTGCTTTTCCAAGTCATCATGTGATTATTCCCAAATAGGCTCGTGTCTAGCAACATATGTTCTTTTTACCCCGTGAACAAGTGCATATTGCTGTGAAAGTGCTCATTGGTGCCTTGAAGGCAGAGTGCACCATTGGTAACGTGTGCATTTTTGTTCTGTTTGAACCATAGACATATAATAAAACCTAGACACGACATTTGCTATTGCGCCTGTGAGCAAAATGCTGTGCGTATAGAATAATGTTAATTACGTGAACCCTCATTATTGGCGTGACGCGTCGCGCAAGATCTTGCGCGAAGCGTCACGCCAATGATGAGAGTGGTCTCACTGCGCGTTATTTGGAATCGTTTGGTCTCGTACGCATCGTACGCATGTGGGAAAAAAACAACTAAGTGGTGCACAAGTGCGTTGGTGCCGCTGGTCTGAACATACGTGGTATATGTATGAAGTATGCGCGTAAATCGAAGCCACATGATAATTCGCGCATCGCGCCAGGCTGCGTTTCGCAGCCCATTTTGCTCACAGAATTCACAACATAAAAGCAGATAATGTCGTGTCTAGGTTTTATTATATGTCTATCGTTTGAACCAACAAAAGGGCTCAAAATCTAAAGATTGATGGTTGATAAATAACCTGATGGAGTTTTAGCTCAGTGAATGCTGTGTATTTAAAGAAAACAACAACTCATTATTCTGGATCTCAATTTCAGTTCTAAAGTTGCGGAGTCGTATTTTGAATTGCGCCTTCTCGTAACACAGTCCCAGAATCTTTAAACCAAGTGAGCCTTTTCACAAAAATGTGGTCAGTTACTTTTTGGATAGCTGCAAATGGTCAACTGTACCTTCAAACATGAACTGTGCAGCACCTTAACTTTGCAGTAGCGATTTCAAAACGCTAAAATAATTTGACATCAACTGTTTTTTTTTTTTTACAACTCATGTTGTGTTTGTTTTATTTTTTCCAACCAGGCTGAGGAGCTCAAAGAAAAGCGAGAGAAGGAGTTTAATGCTGTATCTGAGGTTGCCAAGAAAGAGGTAAAGACTACTGCTTTAGGCCAAAAAAAAAAGTCTCCGGTTTCTGGTATGCGCGCGCGTCGCCGTAGCCATGCGCGTCGGCAAAATGAAAAAGTTTTTTTTCAATTAAAGATGATGTCTCAAAAACCGCCAAACTCACTGGTTTGACTGGAATCCTGCTGCTGCACAGTTTTAACGTGTTTTTAGATGGGGTTATGATCGAGAATAAGCTTTATGTGGCCTCTCTGGACTCCCATAATTATTTGCACTAAGTTTAGTCGGGCACCATTTGCAGTCATCAGCCGACATTTGAAGCAAAACAAACAGGTAGAAAAAATAATAAAAGCCGCGTCACCGCACCACTTTTTGGGCAAGCTCCATACCAGAAACCGAAGACTTTTTTTTTTGGCCTTAGCTTATGACTGTTTTGACTGTCTATTCCAATGTCACAACCCACAATGCCTTTCTGTAGTATTTTCCGCTATCTCCCCAGTGTCAAGTTCATTTGTTCCCCTAAATGCAGTAGTTGACGACAAGACGGGCACAAGGTAGAGGGCGCTATAAGCAAGACAAATCAAATCGAGTCTTTGATATTTGGCACCGCGACCCAAGTAATTTCTGGTATAAATGTACCATGGCACAAAGGGCACTAGGTTGCCAAACGTGCCTTTACATCACATCAACAACAACAACTACCTCTTGCAGCGCATTACCTTAAATACAGTGCACATGTAGTCTATGGGCAATTCCACGGTTACTCACGTTTCATTTTTGATGTACTTTTGAGTTTCCTTGGGCTGTAATTACCTTACTGAAAAGGTTTAATAACTGTTATCCCCATGGTAGATAGAGTACACCTAGACCTACCTAAGCACCAAAGATGACATCCAGAAAAATGTGTTATGTATGATAAACAAGACGCACAAAATCGGTTACTCACGTTACGAAAATGTAACGTGAATAACCAATTTTGTGCGTTTTGTTTATCATATCATGTGTTGATGATGCTCACTGTGTCAATGCTGTCAGTGTATCTCACTGCATAAGTCCAATGGTTTACAGGGTTCTGTGCTGTGACACACTTTTTGCTTCACGTTTTTTTTTCTCCGATTGCAAGTTGTTACCTCTCGTTGACATGCCGTGGTTTGGCACTGGCTGTTACCAATCCAGCCCAAAGCCATCGCTTTCACTTCCCTTATCAATTCCCCGGCCCTTTGCCTCCTATTGTACTCACCAGTGCTCTATAGATCTTCTTACATGTTCTTTGTGTATCTTGCCATTAAAAATTAAAATCACGGGTACTCATTAACCCTAACCCCCTAGGCCCTTGTTGCTTACAACCATCCTCAATCCTCCAAAATCCTCCAAAATTTTTCAACTCTGCCTAAATTTTTCAAAATTGTCAGACAGTCCTGCCTCAAAATGCATTCATCCTCAATCCTCCAAAATCCTCCTCATCCCAAAACTTTGCACTCGTGTTTAAATGAAGGATAACCAACGCCAAATCCTTCAAAATCATCAGACAGTCCTGCCTCAAAATGCATTCATCCTCAATCCTCCAAAATCCTCTTGTGCTTCATTCACCATTCATCCTCAATCCTCCAAAATCCTCATGTGCTTCAATCACCATTCATCCTCAATCCTCCAGAATCCTCATTTGATTCAATCACCATTCATCCTCAATCCTCTAGAATCCTCCAAAATCGCAAGGAGGATTTTGGAGGAGTGAGGTGGGTTAGGGTTAAACATTGTTAATTTGATTTCCAGAGATATATAATGTACCCTCAAGAGAGAATGGTATCTACATGTTCTTTGTGTATCTTTCCGTTCAAAATTGAAATCATGGGTACACAGTACACATTGTTAATTTGGTTTCCAGAGATAGACCTTCAAGAGAGAATGGTATCTACGTGTTCTTCCTCAAGTTGTTGATCTGCCCTTATATACACATAAGCACTACAAGCACTGTATTTCGGAAACAAAAGAAAGTGATTTTGCCAAGTTGTTGATTTGCCCTTAATACACTCACTCGGTACAAGTCGTACGTTTATAATTAGTAGTCGGGTAGCAAAGAATAAATATTTTGTTCCCATGGTAACTATGCTTTCATTTTTTCTGGCATTTCCGTTAATTAATTGGACTGATCATTCAACCGTGTTGGGACACAATGTGTGACGTATGACCATATTATAAAAAGCCTGAATGCCTTGCTAGCAGTTGCACTACATAATTTTTGTTGTCGGGTGTTTCACTACTGCAGAAATTTTAAATCATTTGAATGTATTTTGCCAAAAATATGAGCAATTGAGTGATTTTGACACAGTTACGTCCACATTAAGGTAGTGTTTCTGCTATATTTGAACCCTGACTATACCAAAACAAAAGCTAGTCCTGGTGCATTTGTCCAGTTATAAATATGCAGTGTTAGTTTGGGTAATATTTTACATATGTGTAAAAACTACAAAAAAAAAAAATATATGGATGTATCATTAGCATTTAGTTTTGTCAAAGTACATTCTGATGATTTCAAACTTTCTCAAGTATGAAAGTACGAGCGAACTAATTCTGTGTCCTACAGTGTCGCTGTATTTATGCCACCTATTGTGCTATTTTGTCCAAACTGTACGTCGCGACGTACAGTTTGGACAAATATATATCTTATTTTGAGAAAAAAAAAACTTAAAACTAGTTATTTTTTCTAGGGAGTGACACAAGAAAATATTTCTAAAAGGCCAATACTTGTTTTAAGAAACTTTTTATTCGATTTTTTTCTAATGTTCTTGATTTAGGATAAATAATTTTCTTAACTTTTGTCAAAATAAGAAAAACAATTATAAACTTTTCTCAGTTATGTTTCTTATTTTAAGAAAAACTGCAAAAAAAAATTTCTTGTTACAATTTTCTAGGGAGTGACACAAGAAAACCTCTTTCCTGTTCTTGAATCAAGAATATAACCCCTTCATATTGCAAAAAAAAATCTAGTTTTTTTTCTTGTTTCTTACTCAACTTTTGTCAAATTAAGAATATTTTTTTCTAAACTTTTCTCAGTTTGTTTCTTATTTTAAAGGGAATGTACATCATTGGCTTTTGCTGTAATTTTCAGAAATGAACTATTTGAGGGGTTAGTATAATAGATCAAATATTGTTACACTGACATGTTTGAAGTTTTGTGTTCGAAAATGCTGGAAAAACCAAGAAAAACAAAAATGTTCAAGTAGTCTGGTTCCTTGACTCCACTAAAGATAAAGTGGATCAATGTATAGATGCCGGAAAATTGTCAGGTAAGGGAACCAGTCTAGCTGGCCTGCACCCGTTCATGAACATGTAACCAATAGCAAACAAAATCTGGACTGAAAAAGTATAAAGTTGGAGCAGTAGTTGAAAAATAGTTAGGTTTTTCCAACGGTGGTCGGCCGACCACCGTTGGAAATGGATACAAAAATACCATTTTCTTGAAAATGACTTCACACCAGGTGCCATAATTTTACAGGATGCTTTAGACTGTCATTTACCAACATCCTAGTAAGGTATTTCGTAAAAACTTGGTAGTTTTATTTTTCGATGTTTGCAAATGTTGTATATTCCCTTTAAGAAAAACTGCAAGAAATTTTTTTTTGTTACAATTTTCTAGGGAGTGACACAAGAAAACCTCTTTCCTTTTCTTGAATCAAGAATATAATCCCTTCATATTGCCAAAAAAAAATCTAGTTTTTTTTCTTGTTTCTTACTCAACTTTTGTCAAGTTAAGAATATTTTTTTCTAAAGTTTTCTCAGTATGTTTCTTATTTTAAGAAAAACTGCAAGAAAATTTATATTGCTCAATCCACCTGAAATCAACTTTTCTCAGTTATGTTTCTTATTTTAAGAAAAACTGCAAGAACAATTTTCTTGTTGCCATTTTCTAGGATTAGGAATGACACAAGAAAACCTTTTTTCCTTTTCTTGAATCAAGACAATAATTCCTAGCTGGAATTGTAATCTTGGTTTTTTCTTGTTTCTGCTGAGGTTTTCTTGGATTCCAAAAGAAAAGACATCATAAATCTTAGTACAAATTAATGAGAATTGTTTTCCTACTACAAGAAAACAATTTTGCAAGCTAACTTCAAGGCAAAGGTATGCATTCATCCATAGCAGCAATGGATGCCATGAAGACATTGTGTTAATATTTAACAAATAAAAGTCCTTTGTTTCAGGCTTACCTTTTTTAATCACCCTGTATAGTTTGCTCATTTCAATAATAGTATTTTACCTTACAACTTTATTTAAAAATTTGGTCACTGTCATAACTAGGCCAATATACATTTTTATTGGTGAACTTCAAACCTTACTTTTGAGCATTATTCTCCAAACTTAGATTTGCTTCTCAGGCAGAGCCTAATCGCCAAACTCGGATTAACTTCTAACAATTCTAAAAATCAATTCTCATATCAGTGACTTCCACTTCATATGTTACTTTCTATAAAAGAAAAGGAATTGCTATCTCACTCATGCTTAGTGGGTTATATGTGCAATGTTCAACATGTAGGCCTATTACAGTATGCATGTACATACACATAACTTTGCAACTACCGATCCGAAACTTACACAACTTTCAATCTTTTCAATCTTTAAACATCTTCAACAATAAAGTTCATACAAATAGCCATCCTTAATCTATGATCATTAAGTTAAAACCTGACAATAAAACTAACATTTGTACATACCTTTGGCAGAATAAAAATGATGGAAATGATAAGTGAATGTTTAGGCCTGACAGCTGAAACAATACATTTTTAAATTTCAGTTGGCCACTCCCCCAACAGCGCCCTCTGTTGTTCTGGCCAAAGTCATACAATTTTAATTTCATTCAAGAAAAGTTTTCTTAAAATGAGAAAGTATTTTTTTGTACAATGCATCAACAAAGAACACTTGGCAAGAATAATTTTCTTGAAGTGTAGCATTTTTTGAAGACAAGAATTGTTTTTATTAACATAGGAAATATTTTCTTAAAATAAGAAAATAGATGGCAAATATGAGAAAAA